CGTGACATGTTTTCAAATATATTCCTCTGTGTGCTGCAGTGTTTTATCCTACTGATTTTTTTAAACTCTCAACACCAGTGCTATCATGTAAAAATCTTTTTGGGGGCTTTTTCCTTCTGTAGTTAACAGAATATCCATTCACTAACTCACTATGGATACTTGAATAGTCAGATTACTGAGAACGGACATTTGTAGTGCTGAATTTGGTTACCCTCCTTGAACAAAGATGAATGGATGGAGCTAGAGATCCTGAGACAATTAACTGGTCAACAACTGTCACAGGATCTGTCACAGCACTCCTCAGAACTGCTCCTAAGGTGATAGGTACCCTTATATGATGGGAAACAGAAACTGAGACACAACCAAGCCATACATAGTTCTGGTTTTGTATTGTGACATACTGCCCCATTATATTCTCAGATATCTTACTTATCTTGTATCATTCTCAAGCATTTACAAGCTTGATTTTGTCAAGCTTAGGTCCTCAGATTGGAGGATATGCCACAATGTCAATTAGTTTCTATCAGTCTAACTGTAACTGCTAGATATGATAGTCATCGGAGGCTAAGCCCTGGTCAGTTGGCCCTTGCAGTGGCACTGGAAACCCCTGCGTTATAAAATAAGCCTACTAATGACACTCACACAGTAAGAGCCACATCCTCTTCATCAGCACAGCACCTACAAACACATGGCCCTTCTGTAGCTTTCTATTTTTAGGCTTTGGCCAAGTACACAGTGGTGCATTGAAGCCTTTTACCCTTGAAATATGATGACTGTGGTGTTTAAGTGGACGTCTGCTGACATTGTGATACCCGGTTGACTGTGGCAGTGATTGTGTAGTAGGAGTGTGCTAAACTGGACCTTTGATGGTAGTAGAAGCTGGTCGTAAGCTTGAGGGAAACTGAGATTGTGGCATCAGGCTCAGGTTGCCTGGATTGTTATCTGATTTCCATGGTTTTATGATATGGAGATTAAACAGGATAGATGGCAAATTCAGAATGTGGCCAAAGAGAGTATTTTGATGATTATTTATTGCAATTAAGTAAAGGATTATAAGCTATTTAGACTCAGCATATATCAGAATTGGTCACACAATTGCCATGATCCATTAGCATGCAGGGGCTTGCTATTGGAGAGCTTATTGTGCTGTGTATTCCCTGTAGTTTGCAGGCCTGGGCTGATAAACTGCTGACTTCATCAGGTGTTTAAAGTCTTGGCTTTAAGCTTTTAAACCCTGGAGAATACCTTGATTCATGGTCTTTGCCCTGAACTAGAAGCAAAGCTAAAATTCGTGCTGGCCTGTTGTTGCTGATGTTTTGAGGTCTCGTAGTTAAGCATGATACTCATACCTTGACCGCTATTAGGATTATAGCTCTGAAAAGTGAGTTATAAGGGAAGGTTCTGGTTTTGCTTTTTGCTCTCTTAGATCTACCAGTGCTCTACCAGTGCTCAGAGTTCAGAAAGAGGCAAAGGAATGGCTCATGTCTATTATAGAGGCATGTGACCTGGTAAAACCCTGTTTTGTCTGTGGGGTTCCCACTGCTTACACTGAACTTATTCACTTTAATACTTAAATCATGGTTTCACTGTGTTTTGGTAGTAATTCTGCTCAAGAAACAAACCATTAGGGAGCATTTCTAAAGCAGTTATTTATGTAAAAAAAGGCTGCTTTGCTGACAGATTCTTGGGAGCAGTATTGTCTGGAAAAGATGACCTGATTTGAGCCGCACTGTTTCAACATCAGGCTGATCAGAGGTTGCAAGAGGTTAATCTATTGCAGAGCCCATGGAGCTGAAATAGGAGTGAAATCATATCAAAGCAACAAAGGCCCTTTGTCATGTATCATGGGGCACACACTGCCTTGCCTTTCCCTAAGTTAGCGTTATTAGTGAAGAGCATCTCACTCTTAATCACATTTATGGGCTACATTTACATAAATTACCCCAAAAGTCCTATACTTGAGAGGTACTGCAGATTTGTCAAAATGAGCCTAACAGCATTTAAGCAATCTTACAGAAGAGGTCTGAACATTTGTCTAAATTAGGCTAAACAAGCACTCTGAGCATATATGCTAATAAGCTAGCTGATTTAGAAACGTATGAGAAGAGATTGTGAAAGTCCAAGTGCTGATTCATCTCAGAAAGTTTCCAAATAGCCTTTTCCATTGAAGGCGTTTTTATTCATGAGTTGGTAGCCTTATTATCATATTGTTTACTGTCGTGTTAATACAGTCTCCTCGTCTTGGAGGTTTTGTTCACAGAGTCAGTTTAACTCTGAGTGGTTTTGCCTGCGGCTGAGCAGACCTGTACGTTCAAAGAAGATATACAGCACTGAGAGGCCACGTTTTGTTTGTTTAATTTCCTGTCAAAATGGCCATTCAGTAGTAGTTATTGTTTTCAGTGTCAGGAAAAAAGCAGGACATACGTTTAACAAAAAACTACACTGAATAATAACCTTAATAATTACAAATTTTTCAGTATTTAATTTTACAGTATTTAACGTGTCCACCCTTTACTCCAACTTCCATTCTTTTTGGAAGACTTGCTTTCAGTCTTTCAAAGAAATCTGCAGGAATATTTTTACACACCTCAAAGGTCAGTCTTAGAAGTTGGTTGCAATTAATCGCAATGATATATTGGGTAATGTTGAGGTCTGGACTTTGGGGTGGTCAGTCCATTGTTCTGAGAACACAAGCAACTTCTTTGTTTTGTAAATGTTCTTCTTTTTTGTCTATTTGCTTTTCTCAGTAACAGCTTCTTGACAGCTGCTCTTAACATCGAGCTGCCTTCTTAGGAAGGTCAACAGAAACACCTGAGGGCTTTTTCAGATCTGAAACAAAATGAAAGCTTTAAGTACTGTTTATCTGATGGAGACAGATTTGGTGGTCTACCAGAAGTCCCATTTTGTCTATTTCTCTGTATCTTTTTATCATTTTATTACTTTTATGCAAGTGGAATGTGGTATATCTAAAACATCTCCTAAAAATGAATAACTTTAACTTAATAGCCATTTTGACTGGAAATGAAATCAGTGAAGTATGAGCCGGGTCTCTGACTTTTGCACATTACTGTATATTGCAAAATTGGATTATATTAGTTCTATCATTTCAACAAGTAGATCATATTGGTTATATCATTTCAGTATTTGCATTTCTGTGATTTTTTTCCAAGGAGTGAGCTGTTTTCCATAATGTACGGTGCTCTTGAGTCCGTGCTGTATCTCATGATGGGTATTTTGTGTCAGTTGTAACTGCTTGTCTTTCAACTGCTGTTCAACAGGTTGTAAATGCAGTAAGGTCTTTTAACGTCTTTCATCAGCATGCCTTGGTTTTTTAACCACTATTTTCAGTTCTCACAACAGGGCTAAATGAGTTTCAGCCTGTGTGAGCTCTCTCAGGTAACCGCATCACAGCTGGTTCTCTCATACACTCCCACATTCATCAGTGACTTCAGTACATATCGTGTAGCTGGTCCACAGCCAGTCATATCAGTGAACTGGTGCAGTCGCCTTGTCTCAGTCTGCCATCTGTTTTTGCACTTTTTCCCTTTTTGAGCGTCCTGTCTCAGTGCTAATGTGTCTGAATGTGAATGCTTTTCTGTGTTGACGCAGTGTTTGTGTTTGTATCATATATCAGCAATATCAGAGGTCAAGCCGAAGAAGCTCGTGGAGATTGCGAAGACTCAGTTATGAAAGAGACTTAAGAAAGTCTTTGTGTTTGGAGTTGACAGACTGTGTCTAACGCATTTGACTTACACAATTAGTTTGTTTTTCTTTGCTCTCTGATTCCATAGCTTTGCTCATTCGTGAAATACAGGTCATGTGACAGATGACTTGATTGTAGGTGTACTTATGGCTGCTATAGAATATAATAGCATTCTTAGGCTATGTTCACATTTCACCCCGTTTTTTCCTCGACACCAACACTACAGTACCTTAAAAAATCATAAAAATATGATATAATAAAATAATCAGCAGTCCATTCTACTTTAATGAATGTATTCATCAAACAGTGCTTTCAAGCAACATTTTTATCATACAAATAACTCATAAAAATCATTTTTAAGTCTGGATAAACTTTCCTGTTCTGATGTGAGCCTTCACCTGTTTAATGCTGAAGCTTTATTTCTTTATATAGAATGATTCATACAGTCATATAAAAGGTGTGTTAGAGTCTATTTGATTTGAAAATCAAATAAAAAATAAAACATGTAATTTGACCAGGTGTTCCCAAATATTTGCATACTACTGTATGATATATTGAATACATAGCATAAAAAATCACCAAACAAACAAACACACACACACACACGTCATCTAAACTGCTTATCCTTCTGGGTCGCGGTGGGGTGCTGGAGCCTATCCCAGCTGTCATTGGGCAGACGGCAGGATACACCCTGGACAGGTCGCCAGTCCGTCGCAGGGCAGACAGACAGACAGACATACACATTCACACGCACACTACCAAACAAATAAATGGGAAATTTCATGAACTGAGCTGCACTTTCCTGATCTGATTGGCTGTTTTTGTCTGTTTAATTTTCTCATCTGTCATAAACACGGATAGTGGTTCAAGCATACCAGATTAAAAATGTTTCAGTGAAAGTTAGGAAGAAAAAGGTAAGGAGAAAGCTTTAGCAAGGGAAATGCAGTGTAAAATCTGTTAAGAGTGAAAGGCCTGTGAGAACTCCAACGTGATCTAAACCTGACCGTTCCAAGCTCTTTAACAGACTTCTGACTTTTGAGGACCCAGGTACACGAATCGCATAATCATTAGCCAACAGTGGATGATGAAGACAGTGATATGCAGATGGTGTGATATATAAATTGAATTCCGATTTCATTTTTGTCTCGGTATATCACATAAACAAGATGCTCAGATCTGATTTAAAAATATTTTGTGTTGTCACAGCAGATCTTCAACCACGTAATGTGTAATGTAAATGTTACCTCATACATGAATTCCAGGCTTTGGTTTCAAATGGTGAATGTTGTTTCTGCAGCTTCAGCGCTGGGTGGCCTGGCTGGAATGGAGGCTCTCTCCAGAGGGTTTGAACCAAAAGTGAACAGCAGCAGACGTTCCAAAAGACATTCACACCAAGACGAGATCTTCAACATCGAAGTCCTCCTGGGAGTGGACTGCTCAGTGGTTCAGTTCCATGGCCGAGAGCACATCCAGAAATACCTGCTGACACTTATGAACATAGTAAGTACTCCAAACCTTCACACATAGAAAAACTCTTATGTGTTTCTGAGCCGGTTTACTCTGAGCTACCTCATGGATCTCGAGCTGATTGGATTGTTATCTGATTGTAAAATTAGCGTAAATGCAACAAAGACATATCGCTATTTGATCACTCTCACAACTTCAGGAGGTGGTTTGAGGTGCAGCTGAGCTGTGTGTAAATGTATCTGTACTCCTCTGAGACGGAACTACTTTTTTAGTGAAAATCAATCATAGATGAAAAAAAAGCAACTGTATACCGTCACCTTTTGCTTCATAAGCATCATAAAAACTAGAACTGTTTCCTCCTTTTAGTTCTTATGAAATGCATAACTGCATAAAACAAAACTCTGGCACATCATCGTCTCAGACAGTTCTGGAAGACAGTTTCTTGGATTTGCATGTAGCTCCGATGTGTGTAGCAGCTTTGGTGCAAATCAGACTTCTTTCTGTGTAAAAGCAATGCGTTTTCGTAACCAGGTGTACATGGACTATGGATCTGGACATCCTGGATGCCTGAAATGACAAGTATCAATAGGCTCAAAGTTGCTCTTCTCAGATCTGTTTTCAAGCAAAATCCTTCATCTTCATGACTTGCTGTTTTCTGCCACCTCTGAATTTCACTCTGGAAGGGAATATATCAGTGCAGGAGTTCTAGAATTATCTTTCACACCTGCTGGTCTAGAAGACTGCCAGGGCAAGTTTTAACAAGCTACTGTAGCAATTGAAAACTAGCTAGAACATCTTATGCTGTTTAATCTGCCACATGATGTTATAGGGTTTCAAGATTGACAAAGTATCTAGCATTGAACTTGGCCTCTGTGTAACCTGAGGTGAATGTGGGGGATCAGCTGGAGTGTGACAGTGTTTTTTTGCAGCTCTCAGAATGAGAGAGCACGTTGTCAAATGTCCATCCATCTCCCTGACAGCTGCTCACACAGTGGAAATTCCGTCCACGTCCCTAACAAGGTTTTTTACCTGAAGGATTGATGTGCCTTTGGATCTATGGGCAAGACTGGACTTGCAATGAACTATCTATGCATTCGGTTAAACTAGGAGGTAGTCTACATTTCCAGGCTATTCTGGTGAAACCGTTTTTTTTTCTAGCTTTGCACAACCTCAGGTCCTGTTCACAGCATTCTGCATTGGCCCATCAGCCCTGTTCACCTCCAAAAACCTGACATTTAGCCCTTTTTACTAATCCTTGTATGTTCTTCTGTGTTCTACCTTTCTTCTCAGTCCATCGTTAGTCTCGTCTCTGCTTAGAATGCCTCATTTTTCTTCGATTTTTGTTTATTTCCTGCCATCTCTCCATCCAAAAACCCTGCACTCTTAAATATAAAGGTGCTAAAAGGGATTCTATAGAGGAAGGTCACAGAGGAAACACTTTTGGTTACCTCCAGATCTACTTCATTTTTAAATGTGTACATTTAGTCCCTTTTTCACTCTTTCTTCTTTTTCCCCATCCTTCCTTCCTTCTCAGTCCATTCTTTGTCTAGTCTGGGGCGCGCGTGCCTCATTTTTGTTTGTGCTGCTGTTTGGTTGCCTAGCAGAAGACAAGCTCCGGTGGAAGACCTTGGTGCATTATTAATTTGATCCTAATGATTTTCTGGCACTTTGGCCTCCCGCTCGTCAATTAGCTTACCTGCTCGGCAGCACGCTGGGAGCTGGACTAATAGAACACGGGCAGGGTCCAACAGAGGGCCAGACACAGACCTGCTCTAATGAGGGGCCTATGCTCTGGTTGTTAACACTGTGTGTGTGTGTGTGTGTCCACGTCAGAGACAGACAGCGTGAGAGGACGAACAGAGGAAAAATCAGCAGTAATGAGAGGAAGCGTGGAACGTTGCTGATAATTTTCACTTATATGTTAGGTTAAGAAGCTGTTACACAGCCTGCAGGGTGTGTGTGTGTGTGTGTGTGTGTGTGTGTGTGTGTGTATGTGTGTGTGTGTGTGTATGAAAGAGAGCGAGAGACAATAGCAGGCCAGTAATGGATGGCCTTACAGTCCAGACGGAGGTCAGCAGGTTTTTCTCATGGACATCTCGTCTCGTTCTCAAGGTTGCCAGGCAACTTTAATGAGTGAGTAACTAAGGTGATAAACAGGAAAGAGTGATCCTCCTCCTTATAAGATTCATCATCACCCGCTAATCGCCACAGTCGCAACCCAATACCTCTCTGTTTGCTCTAATGAGGGCTAGCACTAATTATAGCATTCAACTGACTAATTTAGTCCAATTTGCAATAGGGCTGAGCAATATTGCTGAAGAGTCACGTTGCAGTATTTTTTTCTGATAAACGTTAAAAGATAAATTACATATTTATGATTGTATTGCTCGATGTTGAGATTACAGTATACACTGTAAGGCCAAAAGTATGTGGACACCCCTCCTAATCATTGAGTTCATGTGTTTCAGACACAGCCATTGCTAACAGGTGTATAAATTCAAGCACATAGCCCTGCAATCTCCATAGACAAGCACTGGTGGTAGAATGTGTCATACTAATGAGCTCAGTGACTTTAAACGTGGTACTTTCATAGGATACCACCTTTGCCACAAATCAAGCTTGTAAAATTTCTACCCTGCTAGATCTGCCCTGGGCCAACTGTAAGTGCTAATATTGTGAAATGGAGGCATCCAGGAGCAACAACAGTTCAGTCACGAAGCAGCAGACCATGTAAACCCACTGAAGCATGTAGCATGTAAAAAAGAGAATGCACCTCTGTACTGTTTATCTGCGAATTTAACATATCGGGGAAAAAACATAAACATTAAATGTGGCCTGTGCAAAAGTTATGGAACATATTATATTTTATGTTTTTTTTTCCAATATGTGGAACCCAGCAGATAAACAGAAATTGTGCACTAAAATTGGCAGAAAAATGCTGTGTTTGCGTTGGTTTTCTGTAGAAGATTTGTTAACTTATTTTCGCTTCGAGAATCAACTAAATTCTGCCATGACATGTTAATGACATTGTTGTGTCAATGTTATGTAACAGAGATCAAGTAAAGTGTTAGTTTTCTTATAACAGCAATGTTATGTTTGTTGGATTATGCGAACGTCTTGATTCATCTCACCATCCACAGAACATTTGTGATCTGTCAGGATGGTTACTGCACAAAATAAAACATTCAGTGATTAGTTAGAAGCTCATTTCCACCTCTCATTCTTCCCATGTATCACTATTGCGATGGCTGATGGCGCAATTATGATTAGCAATATATTGTGCCGCCCCAACTCAACTTTCTTCCTATAGCCGCCTAATTTCATCTAAAAAAGGCTACTATTTGCCATCACTGTTATGTAGGTGAAATTAATTGCTCCTATATAGCTCCAAGGAGGAGTCAGTTAACCTCAGCTTGATTCTCAGGGACATGGATGCACCGTGTTGCATTATTCTACTCTGCGATCTCCTCTTTTTTTCCTTCTTTCTTCTGTCAATCTGTCTCTTTTTTCGCTCTGTCCGCTCCCCCCAATCGCACAAGGATTCTTAAACAGCCTCTGGTTGAACTGCCATCCATCTGTCAGTCTACGTGTGTGTGTGTGTTTGTGTGTGTGTGTGTGTGTGCGTGTGTGTGTCATAGGACTTCATTAGTTTTCTCTCACACTCACACACTCATGCACACACACCAGGCATTTTGGCAGGGGTCCTGCTCCCTTTCTCAGGTTTCTCCCCATCATGGGCTATGTAAATGGGGAATGAGACAGGGTCAGGTGTGAGCGGGACGGAAATGATATCTCTCCTACAGGCACACGTACACAGAGGACTGTGCACAGATGGCTGTCTTGAGACCCCAAGAGGGGTGCTGCCTGTTAGCCTGTCACAGGGGGGTTGTAATTATATGTATGTTTTCGAATCGGTTATCATACGTAGAGACTTCTCATGTTTCATTCCATTATGGCTCTTTTGATTTACATTATACTGGTATAGAATACGTACATTCACACATATCCATGCACATGCCTTAAAGCCTAGAGTCTTAGTTTCACTTTTACTAAATGTAATCTAGTTTTGCGGCAATAGCGCATCAGTATTAGTGCCAATACTAGCACCATCGTTCCACAATACTGGCATGATACAATGAAGCAATTTCTGATGCACCCTTGCACTACTGAGTGATGCATGAAGCAAGGATCACGTCAGCGGTGTGGGATTATTTCATATTTGAGACATGCAGTAGTGAAAAAATTGCAATATCAGCAGTATTCCCAGGCGAAGGCACTAGTAGCGTATGACATATTGGTTGAAATTCTTCCTAAAGTATTGGTTTCACTGTTATACCACAAGAAAGCCAGATAACACAACACAGAAACGGTGCAAAACATAATTCCTTTTACCTGAATGGATCAGTCAGGCATTCCCTCATCTCCTGCAATGTAGTCAGACAGTCTGAGTTAACGTTAGTCCCGGTGTGAACATTAGAGATACATGGAAGGAACAGCCAGTCTCTTGGGGTAATGATAGTCTTTAGCCTAGGGCTAGCCTTTAGCATAGCAGTTTACTTGCTGCCTATGTGTCCCTTGTCACTGATTGTGATATGCCTCTGGTTTTCTTAAGCAAAAAACCTTCTTGTTTCCACACTCATTGTCCATTTCATCAGTTACTGTAGGTGCACTTTATAGTTCTACAATTACAGACTGTAGTCCATCTATTTCTCTGCATACTTTGTTAGCCCCCTTTTACCCTTTTCTTCAATGGTGAGGACCCCCACAGGACCACCACAAAACAGGTATTATTTGCGTGGTGGTGGTGTGTTAGTGTATGTTGCGCTGGTATGAGTGGATCAGACATAGAAGTGCTGCTGGAGTTTTTAAACACTGTGTCCACTGTGGATTAAAAGAATGAACAATTGATGTATTTCCCCTAATCCCAAATGTTTTTAAACACTCCTTAGCCTTGTAGCTCCAATGCAATTCCTAGTTAATCAGCTATGCTTGGGAAAAGGGGGGAAAATTTGTGACTTTCTGTTGAACTAAGGCTGTCTATAACTTTGCCCACAGGTGAATGAGATCTATCAGGATGGTTCACTGGGCGCTCATATCAACGTAGTATTGGTGCGAATCATGATGCTTTGCTCTCCCAAGGTAACACCGCTTTAAAAATGTGGTCAGCTTTTTACAGTATCTTCACAATACATGTGCAGTCATTTCCTGTAGTGAAGAAAGGTTTTTGATGTAAATAAGAAAGTGACATACATCATAGGCCACTATCAAGTTCAGCAGTTACATATAAGGATTTGCTCAAGTGCACAAGCCAACTGGGGAAGAGTTGAAAAGTTTTTAGGACTAGTGTGGGTTTAGCAGTTATAGCCATTCTTACCCCTTCATTTGCATGAAATCTAAATTAATTGGCTCATAATTCATACAAAATTCTTGTGAGGTCGTTGTCAGTAATGTCTGCATAGAGGTGAGCAATATGGCAAAAATATAATATTGCGATACTTCAAGAAATTTTCATGTTAAACGATATGACACAGCGTTTATTTTGTCAGACATCTGATCAGTTGGAACAGAGAAAAAAGAACTAGTAGTACTACATATTGAAAAACATTGTCAAAAATTCTAAATGCAATATTTATTCAATATTTTGCATTCTGTGTTGCACTAAATCCAGTTAAATGGCACTATTTTTGCTCTCTTTATAATGAAACATGCAATAGGTTAGTGTTCTAAGTACTGACGATGTCCACAATATGTTCAGAAAAGCAAATTATATTGTACTGTGACATAATTTATCACAGTAACGATGTATATTGTCATATTGCCCAGCTCCCCAAGTGTGGTGAATGTAATGCTGTGGTGCTAATCCAGGTTATCCAGGTAATCCAGGATATGTTTTCATCTCTTGTTTTGTAAGTCTATAGGTCTGATCGAGCTGGGCAACCCTTCTCAGAGTCTGGAGAATGTTTGTCGATGGGCCTTCCTGCAGCAGAAAGAGGATGAGAATGACGCAGAGTACCACGATCACGCTATCTTCCTCACAAGACGAGAGTTTGGGCCTACTGGCATGCAGGGTACAGCACTGTTTAATGTAGAACACACAGCCTAACAGTATAACTGTATAATATGCATATTGTTGCTATAATAACAAAACCTTGTACCTTGTTATCATTCCAGGTAATTTTAAACCATTTCTATTGGTCAGTACAATGTTCCTACAACATAAAGGGTAAAACTGTGTAAAAAGTAAAAACATTAGGACTCATCAGGTTTTGATATGATGGTGATGTAAATATAGTTGTTATAGATATAGAGTTTGGGTGCTTTTGGTCACATTATATGTTTTCTTCATTTTCTAAGCGAAAAAAAAAATCTGTACGGTGAAAACACTTCTGCACATTTGAATGAACAATTACCATTTATTTGCTGAATTTAAAAAATAAAACAATAGTTATGGTACATTTTAATATTTAGTGCTTTATTTTTTCCAAATCAATAGAAATTGTGCACTAGAATTTGTAGAAAAAAGTACGTATTTGATCTGGCAGGCCCAAAGTTGTATTACACACTTCTATAACCTAGGAATAGCTCGATTAGTTTGCATTGAAGTCCCTGTGGTTACTGAATAATAAGCCTTTGTATTAACAGATTAGTGTACTCCAACTCATTCTCACTTAGAAAATCAGCAGTACGTAATTTCACTGGGTTTGTTCAGACCTTTGCGTACATCTGTATGTAGTGAATACTTTCCTCACTGTCTGTTTTCGTGTTTTTTTCTCTCCAACTGTTTTGTCTGTTTTGTGTGCTTGTGTTGTCTGTGTCTGCGTGTGTGTATGTGTAGGTTATGCTCCAGTGACTGGCATGTGTCACCCTGTGAGAAGCTGCACTCTGAATCATGAGGATGGTTTCTCCTCTGCCTTTGTGGTGGCTCATGAGACAGGACATGTGTGAGAAACGCTAAATCCCAGCCGACCGCCCACACATATAACTCGCACTTTAAAGCCATTCTTTTTACCATGAAGCTGCAGACAACATAACAGCATGCCACTTAGACTGTTTCGTGCTTGTGAGCTCAGGAAAGCTCCTGGAGATGCAAATATTTCTGCAAATATGCAAGTATTATATAAAGCATGGAGATCAGTCTGTGGTAAACTGTCAACATCAGCTGGTGAATTTAAAGTCAAAAATGAAATGCACACAGTTTTCTCCTCGCACCACGTATAGACAATCAGCCAAGACATGTTTTGCATAGAGGTGGCACAATACCACTTTTTCTATTTCAGTACTAATTCTAAACTTTGAGTATAAGCTGATACAATATGAAATTTCTTTACGTGTAATTATTTCATATAATATTTATATACTATGCTCAGAATTACTACCCCACCCTTACTCTTATCATGTGACATTATCAGGTGGTTACTGATGTTATAACATGACTGGGTTTAACATTTGCAAGATTGCCTGGGACAAGTAAAATGCTAATTTGTGTCAGCAGAATTTTACTTGTCTGTTCAGCCAAACTGAAGTTTTGACTTTTCTGCAGAAAACCGATTTGGTGAGCCACATACTTGATGCTACATTCTTTCTCTTACATATCCAAACACCCCCTGTCCATGGAAAAAATGGTGTAATCCAGTTGAAATCTAGCCACTTGTAGCTTATTGACATGATTCACATTTTGCACCAAAAAAACAAAAAAGATAAAACAACAGCAATAATAATAATAATAATAATAATAATAATAATAATAATAATAATGGCTTAAGAATACATTGATTTCCCTGAAGAAATGTGCATGTGTGCTTATTAAAATGTGAAAAATGTTTTTAAAAGCTAAAATTTGTTTGTGACAGTATAAATTCTCAGAGCAGTAAACTTTTGGTCCACTTGCCCAACTGGACAAGTTGGGGAAAAAGTTCATGTTGAACCCTGCGTGATTTGCTTTACTTCACTTTGCTTTTTCTCGATCAGATTTGTTTTATTTTTTCAGCTTTTTTTCCTGATATGCGCCTGATACTGATACCTATTATCATATCGGCGCCATCTCTAGTTTGTTGCCTGAAGTCTACGTTTTAGTTTTAAATGGCAGCTATGAGGCTGATGTCGCTAAGAATTAATGGAAGCTTACACATATTGCAATTAGCACTGTGCAAACTGACTAAATTTTCATGCACTTGCCTCAGACTTCCACATCTCAAACAGACGTGCTTGTGTGTCTTCTGACACTGTATGACACTGTAATCTATAAAAATAGTTAAAAATGTGGACAAAATGGTAGCTTAAAAACCTACTATTACCGTTTTTAGCTATGCAATGAGGTTTTGTCCATTTTTGAGATTACCCAAGGTAGTTTGAGGCAAATGTGTGAGGATTTAGGCATGCAGTTCTTTTTTTAGAAAATTGGGATTAGATTTTTTCATCAAACTCTTTTTATGTGTTGTGTAATGGTCAGGTTAGGGATGGAGCACGATGGCCAGGGCAACGAGTGTGGTGACGAGGTCCCGATGGGCAGCATCATGGCTCCTCTTGTACAGGCGGCTTTCCACCGCTTCCACTGGTCCCGCTGCAGCCACCAGGAGCTCAGCAGATATCTCAAGTAAGCTGACCTCCATTCACCCCCACCGAGTCCAAACTGCACTGCCATTAGTTTACAGCTCTGAGCAAAATACTCAGGTGTCAGCATTATGGTTAAAGCTTAAGTGGAGTTTTACAAAGTAACTATTAAGTTTTATGAAGCCACAAAGCAGGTGGCGTGTCTGAGTACATGGGTGGGGATAGAGAAAACGCCAATAAAAAAGACTTATCACCTTCTCTTATGAGGATTTATGAAAGAAAGTTTGACCAGAAAGCAAGTGCTTTGACGTTGAGTAATTTATTGACTCTTGTATTGCATTATAGATGTCTAAAGTTGTTAATGTTGTATTGCTGTACAGTCAAGCTATGTATTTAAATGTCATTACATAATGGCTCAATTACACAGTTAGTTACATATATATTTTATTGTTATTCTGTACTGATAGGCTTGAGTCTGTACTTATATCTTTTTGCCCTTTTTTCTCATATCTTTTTTCCTGTCAAAAAATGGCAAAACATGGCATAAACGTAAATAATGATTTTTCTTTCTGTGAAGCAAGATTCATAATTACAATCAAAATAAAACATCTTTTTTACTTACAAACATAAATGTGGTATCAACTGAAAATTCAGAATTCACACTACTACTAAGTGTCACATATTGCAAGTGATAAGGCTGGATGTGAGCATAAACAAGTTTTATTGATGAAAATGAACAAAAACAAACACTGAGAAGGATACAGAAGAACATACTACATGACTTTTACACAAAACTAACAAAGGGGAAATCAAACACAGGCTAGACACACGACTAGAAAAGCCAAGACTGAAATAAAGGTTTAGACCTACACAGTGGGCAACACCTGGGAGAAGGAGGAGAAAGGAACAACACACAGGTGGGAACATTGATGGGAATGTGGAAACGGGACACAGACAAGGACTGAAACAGAAATACACAGATGCACATGGCAGAAAAACACACGGCATTGACACGGGCAGAAACAGGCATACATTGGGGAACACAGGGGAATCTCTGACAGTAAGAAAATATTTAATGTAAAAATAGCCATTCAACCCTTGACGGTTAACAAAAATGTGGCTTTTATGCTGTTTAATCTACTTTTTCTATTAATGATATGTTGTAAAGAACATGATCTAACAAGCCAAAAACTAATTTTTATTAAGTTCTCACAAACAATCTTTTTGGACAGGCAGATTTATAAGTCACACATCAGTCATGTTTTATCGTTAAATCAATATTAAGTACTTACCTATTCGAATTGTGCTTTAAATGTGCTTGCAAGTTTGCACTAAAAACATCTTAGTCCAACTCACAATGAAGGAAGCCTGATGCATCTTTCATACAGTGATAGAAAACATGGTATCACACAGAAATCTCAGATTCAGTATGAAGATGCAGCAATCTGCCGTAACTCCTCTGATAGCAGAGGTAAATGATTTAATGATTCATCAGAGTGTTTGCATGTATCACAGTTGGCACATTTTGTAAATGTATCACGGATGAGACGTTCGCTTTGTTATGGTTTAAGGCATATATGGCATGTGAAACCTATCTTGGGGGTCTGTTCTTCCTTTATAAAGCCCAAATTAAAGCTATGTTTCCTGCAGCACCTACGACTGTCTTCGTGATGACCCCTTTGACCATGAGTGGCCGTCCCTGCCGCAGCTGCCAGGCCTGCATTACTCCATGAATGAGCAGTGCCGTTTTGATTTTGGCATGGGCTACATGATGTGCACGGCGGTGAGTGAGACACATCACACTGACATCAACAGCCAGAACACACCGTGATCTGCAGACTTTAACCCACTCAACTCTCCCCATCTCATTCTGTTACAACCACCTTTTAATATTCACTCATACGTGCAGTTGCGCTGTATTGTGGCAGCATCATGTAACTGGCCATTTCACATCTCTTGACGGATGTACAGTTGCAGTCAAAAGTAAGTTTCTAATCATAAATACAATTTGATCTAAAGGCCTATGCATTCATTCTAAGATGAATATAAATAGAGAAGTTGTTGGTTATGTATTCAATTATTTCCCCAAAAATTAAATAAATAAAATAATTGTATGCAGATGTTTGGGCACACCTGGTCAAATTATATCCCTCAAAACGAGCTCTTTGTTAGAAAAAGCTTCCCAGCAAGCTTCTCATTATTCTAAAATATGAAAACATATCAAAAATAAAAAAAAAAAATCTATGAGTAAATGTGTCTAAACTTTTGACTGGAACTGTATTACAGCAGTATGTTCCACAGCTCATTACTAAATTCCAATCTAAAAGTGGAGTTTGCCTTAAAGGAATACTTCACCAAAAAATGCTGTTGTTGCTAACAATGAACGGCTGTTTGAGTCATTTCTGGCTTTATTTTTTGTGTGCTTGATTCATTGTTAGTAATTCTAGCACTTTTTGAGTGAAGTATTCGTTTGAGGCTTCTTGGTAAAGTGGAGATTTTGGTGGAACACTTGACTTCACTGTCTTATCGAACTGTCTTCATAGCTGCAAAAGGTGGCACGCACAGCGAAGCAGGTAAGGGGTCAGCCTTTGATCAGAGAGGTGTCCCTCATGTGTATGGCACCTTCTTCTAGTACTCGTCATGTTTTCTGGTATTCATGATCATTCCTTTGACTCTTTCTATGTTCTCCATGTGAAGTAATTGTGCTTCATATGTATCAACTGAAATAGCCGTATATTGATGTTAGCATACAGCGTTATTCCCCTCTGTCCACCATCCTTCAGTACTTCAGTAAGATATACACAAACACAGGACTTCAAAAACTGACAAAGTGACTCCTTACTAGCCTTACATAAAGGTGTAATCTTCGTTTTGAAACAGTCAGTCTTTCAGCCGGCTGAAGGTAATCCTCCTCCTCCCCCTGTGATTGAATGTGAAACGTGGGTGTAAACTTGCCTTGCCTTCGGTTTGCATGGAAATTTCTGTTTTCTTCTTTACTGGTGATACTGTAGCCTTGGCCTCTGTGAGCTGCCATGTGTGAATGCGAGCATGACTGTTTCTTTTAGTACAGCACCTACGACCCCTGCAAGCAGCTGTGGTGCAGCCACCCGGAGAACCCTTTCTTCTGCAAGACCAAGAAAGGCCCTCCTATCGATGGCACCAAGTGTGCCACAGGAAAGGTACGAATCACAGCAATAAAATAGAAAACCCACTAAACTTCTTGTTCTTCAGCTGTACCTTTACTAGTGCCCATCAAATGTTTGGGGACACCTAGCTTTTCAAAGCGTTGTCAAGTGTTCTTTGTCAGTTTACAGTAACCTAATATATTGAATCGGAATCTGTATCAATCTGACCATTTGTTCCTTGCAAAAACTGCAAAAAATAAAAGAATCAACTGACAAAAGCACTATTTTCAGAACAGGGCCATACTCCACCTTTATCCCTTGATGTGACGTCAGCATTCATCAGCACTCAAAACACATTGGAACCATTAGAAAACGGTCAGATCATTATTTAGGCAAAACCTGCTCTTCATACCAAGAAAGACACCTTGATGATACTTTGATATCTTACAAAATATATTCAAAGTAAATACATAAATAACCGAATGTTATTTAAGAATTATGATTCAAGCCAGAACCTGGTAAAATAATGTCTTTGTACTCAGGCAAGTTATTCATAACCATTTCATATAATACCTTTCTGTGAGGTAGTTTATAGAGGCATCAAATTCTTCAGACATCTGGTTCATGTCACCCCCGTTATGAACGACTCCTACGTACGATTCTCTAGAACAAGGCATTTTACATTAAACCATTCTGAATGAATTTGATGACATCATAACGATTGACATATGCAGACTTCATAAAAAAGCAGTGGGATTCCCCTTTAACTAAACATTTGCAGGTATTTTTCATATGTAACTGAAACCTAACAGTGACAGTCAAACATTACTATTTCGAAAAGCAACCTGTCCCCACACTTTAGACGAGCAGAAGATGTAGTTTCATAAGCTTACAATACTTATGTGTAATATGCAAACCAATAGGAGTGTACGTCTCTCTCTCTCTCTCTCTGTCTGTCCCTCGTTCTCTTTCTTGCTCCTGCAGCACTGCTTTAAGGGTCACTGTATCAAGCTGTCACCAGACATTCTGAGGCAGGATGGCCACTGGGGCCAGTGGACTGAGTTTGGCTCCTGCTCGCGCACCTGCGGAGGAGGTGTCCGCTTCCGCACCCGCCAGTGTGACAACCCCATGTGAGCCTTAGTGGACTCTTCCATACTGTCACCTGCTTTTGCACTCAGCCTGCACAAAGAAGCACTGAGGAGTTGTTGGCGCAGCTTACTCTACACTCAACGCTGTGTATTCTAACTAAAATAGAGGAAAGTCTGGGAAGTTGGTATCCCACTTAAACCTAAGGGCTAGAAAATGGAGCCACAGTTTGATTCCTCACTCTCACAACTACATAAAGCACAAATTTGTTTGGTAGTAGTTACAGAATAATTCATAGTAGTTAGGGAATAATAAATCGTAATAACAAAATAAATAGCCTAAAGAGACATGAGGTCATACTTTTGATACACATAGGATGGAGCAGTTAGATTAAACATTACTGACTTAAAACTTTGAAGACGTTTAGGTTTCAGCTTCAAACTACTAATTTAGAAATATAGAAACTGCTAGTTACTTACACCTACACAATGAATAGTGTAAACAATTAGTACCTAAGTGTAGCCAAGCTACACCAAGGTTTTAGGAATATTTTTAGTAAATGAGCATGTTTTAATGCCACACTGTGGGCAGGTGTTGATAACTTGGAATTGCTACATATACTTGAATGCAAATGTCACCAAATTTGATATCTTGTGAAAAGAAGTATACAGACCCTTCTCAGCAAACTGTATTAAAAATAACGTGTGTAACTGTTAATACACAGTTCCTGCTGTCCAAACCTTTGCACAAATAACATTTTTGTATTTTCAAGTTAATCTAATATAAAGTAATTGTGCATATGCAATTCCAAAACAGTGCTATTTTTAGAGCCCTTTAGAGGTTGTTTTTTCTTTTCACTTAAAAAATCAACAAAATGTATCATTTGGCCAGGGGTGCCCAAATGTTTGCATACTATTGTATTTAAGCTAGCAAAGTTGAACTGTTCATTGTGCATTTTGACTAGGAATGGATGATATGGCAAAATATATCACGATAATTGAAGACATTTTCACAATATACGATACATAGATCACAGTAGTACATTTTCTGTAGGTTGATAAGGTCGCAAATCCTTCGTATTGAGACATTTGAGAAAAATACAATAAAAACTTTTGATCCAACAATTTCCATACTGCAAAATAGTAAATCTAGTGAAACAGGAATAATTGTGCTCTTTTTTTTGTGTAACATGTGGGTGTTTAGTGTTCCTTAGTTACTGACGATGTCCACGATATGCTCAGAAAAGCACATTGTCAAGTAGTGTGTTGCGATAATGCTAAATATCTTCATATTGTCATATCATTGTGACTGAAATAGAGGGAAATTTGGATTAGATTGTTGGCAAGAGGTACGACACAGCAAGAGTTGATCAAAATGCTGTTATGGTAAGATCTAAAATAGACATTACTAGTTAGCCATACCTACACAATGAATCATGTAGCTTTCACAGGTTAGAGAGAGTAGAGAAGCTCCAACCTTACTAGTTTAGAGATGTACAAACTGCTAGCACCTACCAACGTATAGCTTGGGTAGCCAGGGTAGATGTAACCAATAATTTCTACATCTCTAAACTAGCAAAACAGCTTTCTATTGTAATATCTTGAGTTAATGCAAAGTGGAAAGTAAACAGACCCATTAATTAAAGACATTTTTGAAAGCTAAGTGAAGCAGTTTGGAGCAGTTTATGCTCACTACTCAATGTGTGTCATGAGTAGGTGTCAGTCTTTTGGTAAAAGTTGTGATGAAGATATGAAGGATCAAAGGTTAATGGACTAAATCCTTAAAAACATTGCTGGGTCAGTGGCTGCCAGTTAGCAACACCTATTTACATTACAGACTCTTTGACAGCCTGGCACTTTATACATGTCACCTCTCCCTGACCTGTTTTAAAATTCTCCCTTCACTCTTTCAGCCCTGCCAACGGTGGGCGCACCTGCTATGGAAACAACTATGAGTTCCAGCTGTGTAACACTGATGAGTGTGCCAAGGCCCTGGCGGACTTCAGAGAGGAGCAGTGCAAGATGTGGGACCCACACTTTGAGCACCAGGGGGCCAAGCACCACTGGCTGCCTTATGAGCATCCTGACCGTGAGTCGTTATAAAAATAAACTCATATGTTTTCCTTACATTACACTACATTCTGAAGTAATAAACTGCCTATTAAATTGCTAGCATATGGCAGGAATATAGGTGTACTGGTGTACTGTACAAAAGTCAAAGACCATCCTACATTTATTTCATTTCCATTAGGCCTTTAAGTAGAATAAGGGGAAAGTCAAAGAAAATAAAGTGACAAAACAGGAATTCAAAAAAATGACTAAAAGATACAGAGAAAATGGGACTCCTAACAACCATACAAGACCTGGGAAGGCACCCAAACAGCTTTCATATTTGAAAGCGAAGGAAAAAAAAGCTCCACTTTTACTTCAGTTCTGAAAGATCATGAGAAGCAGAGAATGCAAACAACTTCTAAGGCGAAAATATCCCTGCAGATTTCTTTTAAAAGCTGAAAGCAGGTCTCCAGAAAACAAAGGAAGCTGTAATAAGGTCAAAGGATAAACATGCTTAATACTGAAAAAAATGCATTATATTTAGTTGTTGATGCTTCTGTGTAATTTTCTTTAGTGTTTTCTATTTTTTTTTTTCATTATGCTGAAAGGTTAATTACTTATACTTAAGGGCCATTTTGACTGGCAGTTAAATAAATGAAAGTGTGGTCTCTGACAGTGCTGTATTTTACTATGATACTGTGTGATCTGTTGCATTTTAAATGGAAGATCAGTGGGGTTTAAGGCTGTGCCTGGTACTGCTACATAAGATAAACTCCATCATGGAATGTCTTTCTGTAGATCTAAAGTGAAGTCTGCTTGCTGTTTGTCTGCTGTTGACATATTTACAGCACCTTCTTATATTTTGATTGTACGGTATGGGCTGAGAAACAAAAGCTGAGTTTTATTTATTTAATGTAAAGAGACAGGGTTTTGAAATATGAAATTTGCAGCTGGGAGCATTTCAGGTTACAGTCTTTTTCCAGCACTGGAATGCCTTTCTGGAGACTATGTTCTCAGCAGTCTAGAAGTCAGCGCAGTTTAAGGTATCTGGTTTTTGGGGCACACAACAGCTGTTATTTCCAACCTCAGTTGGCTCTTTTTTGTTTGAATTCTGGTCTGGTGCTACAGCTCCCTCCTGCATCCGCTTTGAGGCCTCCTGTGAGTTTTTTTGCTCTGAGCCGTAATAACTGCTTTGTTACATAATACGGGCAATGGCAAAAGCAATGGAAGCTGAATTCCAGAAGAGGAAAGAAGCAGGAGAACTGTCTGGCAGGAAGAAAACTGTATTTTACTGTTCTAGCACTACAAATGGCTAGAATAGAGACCATGTGTGCTTGGATTTTCTGTCCCTCTGGCAACGGCGTAATTACTTTAATAATTGTTTGATTTGGTGGACTCAGTGTTAATCCAGTTTGGGAGAGCGTGATTGGTTTGTAGCTGCATTGTGGAGCTAGTGAGAAGAACGTTGGAGAAACGTTTGGCTCCAGCTTCGAGAACATAGGAAGCATTAGCTGAATGCTGGGCTGCAGTGTTTGGGAGCAGAGACACATGGAAATCCAATTAGGCAGCAATGACATCTCCAATTTTCCACCAGAACCAGATTGCTCTTACATTAGATGGAATTCAATTAGCCCATGGATAGCTTACACCCTTTCATTCCCACTGCTCACTGCCGTTCTCACTGCACAGACACTGCTGAAAATGAGGGCATAGGTCATTTCCTTCAATAAAGTCATGATTTTTATGGTATATTTGAGTCTAATAGGGTTTCTAATTTCATCTCTATAGACTTCATGTAGATGAGGCTAGTTTGGTAACAGTAATTTGATACCTTTGAAAACAAGACACCTATTTTTAGCTTGTTTAAAATCTGGACTCTTATTATAAGTCCTTAGTTATTGTAGATTCCTTTCAATTCAATTCCGTTCCATTGAGTTCATTACTTTAATTCTAACTTTAATTCTCCCTGAATGGCAACAGACAGGCACATACACAACATAAAATAATAAAAATAATAAACAGATCACCCAGAACATTATAGTGCTATTAAACAATATGTTCCACTATTGCTAATTTCCTGGGTGGGTGGGGCTCTCTCAGCACCACTTTTAAAGGAGCAGTTGCAACCCGGGATAAAAGTAGACATGCTGCGAACCATTCTGTAGTGAAAGCAGTGAAGGTGATATGTAGGACATGTATGGAGTCATGCAAGATGTCATTATCTTTCTTAGTCTGCTGACCAACTGTATGTGGACAAAGAGTGACACTGTACCCCTGCAATTTGTATTACATAGTTATATAAACATAATTAGTTACAAAATGAGTTTCATTTACATTAGATTTATGTCCTATTCCAGAGGTGCTCAGTTAAAATTTGTGAAATGATCAATTATATCAGCTGTCTTGCTTACAAAGGTCTGGATAAACAGACTTAACATAAGTGAATGGCTACAATGGTTACCTTTAAATGCTTATCTGTAAATGATTAGTCCAGGCCACCAATAGAATAAAGTAAAACATATAAAATATATTTTGATAAACTGCATTATTTTGTAACACAATTTTATAATCTGTTGAGCATATTAAAATTAATTGGTCATTGGCTATTATTTGCAAAAAGAATAAATAAATAAAAGCTAGGAAAAAAACTAAAAAAAAACTTTTTGTAGGGTACGTTAAATAAATTAATTAAAAAATGAATTAAACACAAATAAAGCTATTGTTTATGAGATTCCACACTCTTGTGAGGGAATGCACAGTCACTCTGGTGAAGGTTTCATTTATTTTATTTGTCAGTGCCCCTCACTCTGGACATGTGAGACACATCGGTTTTGAACTCTCTCTGAGAAGGCGCGCTGGTCCATCTGTGTGCATGTTATTAAAATAGGACCCTTTTTACATACGTCAGTCAGGGTTGCTACAGAATTGTTTTCAAGAACATGGTTTGGTCTGCTGGGATACTTTGCTGGGTCTGCATTTGGACTACGTTCCACCAGTTGACGACCCCTGCTCTGTTCTATATTGACATTTGAGTCAATGACTTTTCCAACTTTGACTAAAAGGATTGTTTTTCAGAATGTGTATGTGAAACGTTAAATAAAAATCATCTGTAATTATTTTTTTGAATGTGGCATAACTGGCTCTTTTTTGCCTGTTCTAACATTTCAGTTGTCAGAAAAAATAAATATTGTGACATTGTGTAACATGAAAAGTTCAAGAAGTATCATTATATTGTATTTTTGCCCCTATTATTGTCCACAGTTACTTGGTTAAACTACAACATGCTTCTCCATGTTTAAAGGCCCTTTCTTCTCTGTGTTTTTGTGTGGGGGCTGATAGCTGAGGAGAGATGCCAGCTGTACTGCCAGTCTAAAGAGACGGACGATGTGGTGTCCATGAAGAGGATGGTGCATGACGGCACACGCTGCTCCTATAAGGATCCTCACAGCGTGTGTGTGCGTGGAGAGTGTGAGGTAAGAAGGGGGTCTGTCACTGGAATGCTTCCTCTTTGAAATAATAGTTTCAAAGTTGTCAAGTTTACATTACCTCCATGACCCTAGAGAGTCCCAAGACATTTCGGTGCCCAAAGTTTGTTTCTGTAGTTTTATTCTGGAGCTGTGAGGCTAGCTTATGGTGGGGCTTGCACTACTATTATGTTTTACTGGACAACTAGTCTTTCAATAAAAGTAGTTGACTAGTCATCATTACTATCATAAGAAAGGTGAGTGTTCTGGATATCAGTGAAAAGTATTTTGTGCTTAGCAGAAAAAAACTGATTTCTGATCTCTTCCTCCTGCCTCTTCAACGCAGCTTTACCAGCACTGGATTTAAGGCATTGACCTTGACTGCTGCCCACAGCACCAACTAGTGGATTTATTAGTCAACGAGTGGCTAGTCCATGTAACCCCTAGCTTATAGCAATTGAATTGACATCGTGCAAACTGCATGCCTAAATCATCACACTCTTGGTGTAAGCTTTCAGTACTTGTTCGCCTCGTAGCAAACTTTGGACACTAAACATGTCTTGGCTGTTCGACTACATTTGGGGTAAGGGGAAAATTGTGTGTATTCAATTTTTTGCTGAACTATTTCTTTATCCAATCAAACGAATAATGTCAAATGTAATCGGATAAAGCTCAGCTGGCTATCCTGGGCTTTGCTCCCTGGTTCTCTCTCGGTTTCTCTTTCCTCTGTTGCATTCATGAGGATGAGCCTTTTCCATCCGGCTGTGCCAAGCTTCACATTTATTTGCACAAATGGGCAGCTAGCGCATATGCTCCAGCTCTGCTCCTGGACCACTCTGCGCCGTATGCTGTGGCTGCTTGCTTTCTGCTAAGGTGGCCTTTCTGAAAGAATGTTCCGGGTCAAATAAGGCTAGATAAAAAAATAATATGTAGAAGTCTGGACACCCCTGGCTAAATGACATATTTTGTTGATTTTTGAAGTGAAAAGAGGAAAACACAACCTCTGCAGCAAATTGTTTCTGCAAATGTAGATTTACTTTATATTTGATTACCTATTTTAAGATCAGAAAAACAAATACTAATAGTGACGTGCAAAAGTTCGGAAATTTTTCTTGTTGTAAAGTCTCAGAAATTAATTAACTCATTAGGTTAACTATACTGGTTAGACAAGCAAACAAGCAAAAATGTCAGTATGAATTGTCAGCTGATGACAGTTCTACATTGTAAAAAAAATTACTGATTCATCAAACCTTATGCTAACACTCAACTATCATGTGCTGCTCTAAGCATCTGACTGAGCTGACTGTGCAATTTCCTCTGTCCAAAAGGTCAACAAGAAATGACATTAAGGGGAGGTCATGTGCTGGCCAGAAATGCAAAGCAAAACCCCCATATGTCAGCAAAGAACCTGCAGTAAGGTTTAGCTGACATAGAAGTGGTAGTGCATCATTTACTGTGTTGCTTGCGCAAACATGATCTGCTTGGAAGAGTCATCAGAAAGAAACCTTAAGCAACAAAAAAAGTCAGTGTCTGAAGTCTGCAAAAAAAAAAACCATCTAGATAGGCAACACGCATTTCAGAAACAAGTGCTGATGCAGTAAAAATGGCGATCTTTGACCACAATCACCAAAGGAACAAAGAGAAAAAAGTAAATGAGAAAGGAGCAGCATTTGATGAAAAGAACACCTTGCCAACTGTTAAGTATGGGGTGGTTTTGTGCATTGGGGTTGGGTGGTAGAGAGTGGCACAGGAGACACTGCACAGGAAAGATGTAATATTAGCAAATGCTGGAAACAAATATGACACAGTCAAGAAAATGAAGCTTAAGAGAGGCTGGCTTGTACAGCCGGACAGTAGTCCAAAATATACCTCAAAATCCATCACAAACTTCTTCAAGAAATGCAAGCTGAAGATTTTGGAATGCCCCCCACAGTTCCATGAGTTCAACATCTATGAGTAGATTTTAAACCTGCTGGGTATGCAAGATGGCCCAAGAATATTGCAGACCTAGAAGTGCTCTGCAAGGAAGAGAGGGTGAAAATAAAAATAAAAACAATAAAGAAATTCCTAGCTGGCTACAAAAAGTGTTTGCAAGCTGTAATATCTACCAGAGGAGCTGATATTGAGTACAGACTTAATAGTGTGTCCAAACTTTTGCACATCACAATTAATAAACAAATAAACAATTGTATTTTTTTCAGTTAGTAGCTAGAAACATATTAGAGAAATAGAAAGATGTCTGCAGAAGTACACACAACCTCTGCAGGAAACTATTGCAAAAAAATAACATGTTTAAATGTTAATAAACAGTTCTTGGTTCCACGAGCCACAATTACTGTTTTCTCTATTTTTTAAGTTAATCAAATATAAAGTAATTGTGCAAACATTTGCAAACAAAAGTTATTTTAGTACTTTGCTGCAGAGCGTGTGTTCATGTCTTTTTACTTAAAAAATCAACCTAATTAATTTAATTTGGCCAGGAGCGCCCCTTTTTTAGATATCCTAAGGTGGCAGAGATACAAAGCAGCTTTACCATATAAGCAAATTAGACAGTTGCCTACAGAGACAGCAGACTCGTCATATGTTTTCTTTACCTCAGTGCTGTAACATCCGTTCACTCTTTGTCCTGGTCTTTCTGTGTTTGCCTTTTTCTTGGTTTCCTAGTGCTGTGTGTGTTTGTGTTTATCTGCCATGTGCTTTTGTTTTCTTTTGACATGTGCTTTTGTTGTCATGTTGGCTCCTCCCCTGTCCTTACCTGTCTTCACCTGTTCTTTGTCTCCCAGCCCCGCCCTCTCATTGGTCTCAGGTGTTTCTCATTTTTTTTCTGTTAGTATTTATACCCCTGTGTTTGCTCAGTCCCTTGGTCTTGCATTGTGTCTTTATACCCTGTTGCTGTTGCCTGTTTCTCTCATTGTTGGTTTTTGTTTCTTGTTTAGTTCTGCTTACTTTGTTTGGTCTTGTCATGGACACCTCTGCTACTGTGTTTTTGAACTCTGAGTTGTGTTTAAATAAAAGCAACTCACACTTGCATCCTGCCCCAATGCCTCCTACGTTACAAGTGCTTTCACTAAGTTTTTAATTGATATTTTAATGAACTGACAGTTGAACAGCCAGTGTCATTTTTTCTAGTTTGTTGAATGTTGCCTGTGTAAGTTTGCTTTTTCAGTTAGGGTCAGCATGTTAAGCTGTTAGCCTTTCCGATGAGGTGGGAGATTTATCAAAATAATAATAAAAAAAGATGGATGTGAATAAAAGTTGAAGAATAGAAAATAAAAGCTAAAGCATTCATTGTCAAAGTCAGGAATGTGATGGTGTTACACTAGTGTGTGTGTGTGTGTAGGATACACTGTAGCCAAGCAACATCCATAGGTGGGGCAGCAAAACTTGCCTAGGGGAGGGCTGGGTAGATTCTGTGTTTTTGATGATTAACTCTTAGAAGTCTAGAGTTATTACTATCTCTGTGTTATGCTATTTAACCATAATTGTTATTCATAGGTAATTATGTAGTACTATAATTTATTCTGTTTACATTAGATTTACATTATTATTAAGTATTCATATTAAGTTCAAGTCTGTGTTTTTTTTTTTTTACTTTTTCTGCTTGTTTTGTTGTCAAAAACTGACAAATATGTGTCAAAAATGTAAAAGATCTTCCACATTTCACCAAATTGTACACTTGACAAAATTTCTCTACTTGCTTCCAAGTCAGAAATAATGAATATCATCATGTTTTTGTTATCGCATGTGGTAGCCTTCCAGGAGTTAAGTGATGATAATAATGGAGGCACACAAAGCACTAATGAGATTGACCCAACCCTGAACCTTCGCAAAGTCTATGACTGCATACTGATCTGCAGTTAATTTCCTCTCTCCGTACTTGCCTCAGTCATTTTTTGCAACCCAGCCAAACTGCTCCAGACACAGCATGGAAAAGCTATATACAACAGATCCTAACAAAAACAAAAAAGAGAGATCATATCGCCCTGTTTTGAAAGAACTGCACGTTTAGGATAGACTTCTATCCTACTACTAGTTCTTAACGCTCTAAATGACCTTAAAGTACCCACTTACATCACAGAATGTCTGTCTGTTAATGTTCCAGCATGTGATCTTAGATCTGCAGATACTGGGATTCTGCAAATACCTTCCATAAAAAATGTGAAGAAAACGTGGAGAAGCCTCTTTCAGTTATTATGCTTCTAAACTGTGGAACTCAATTCTACCTTTTATCAGGCAGTCAAGCTCAGTGCACACATTTGAAAGCGTATCTCTTTAAGCGTTTTATAAAAAAAATGGGTTTTTTGGTATTTATCTTTTCAATTTGATTTGTCTGCCTTATATGATTTTAATTGAATAATCGTAGTTTCTTCTGTTAAGTTTTATCAGCACTTTGAACTGCAACCGGTATGAAAAGTGCTCTTTAAATAAAGATTATTATTATTATTATTATTATTATTATTATGTCGTTCACTATGAATGAGCTCATTGCCACTGATGTGTGTGTAGAAAGTGGGCTGTGATAACGTGATTGCCTCAGAGCTGGAGGAGGATAAGTGTGGCGTATGTGGAGGGGACAACTCCACCTGCAAGATCGTCAAAGGAAACTTCACTCGAAGTGCCAAGAAACCAGGTGAACACTGCGCTCTGTTCCTTACAGTCTTGATTACATCTCCATGACTACATGAATGAGTGTCAATGTGATAAGCAATTGTTTACTTTTAGTGCCCACTTATTGAGGGTAGATAATGCACCAGAGTTATTGTCCTATTTATTAGATGCAAAAGAAGTTAGTTAGCTAGGTCTACCCCATCACACGGTGCTACCAAGTTGGGAAGGTGTCTTTATGAACTTGTGCTAATGCAGCATTATTGGACAGCTCAACACACTTGGAGGAGATCACTGGCAATTATGTTAGCTAACAGATGCCTGTGTTGGCTTGCAGAGTGATGACACCAAGAGATAGAGAGGCCAATTATGTTTTCTTGGACTCCCGGCCACAGATGGCTGGGGCATTGATTCAGATCAAACTCAACATCTTCCACTGATAAGACCAACATTTAGACAGTGATGCCACTCAGGAGTCCTAAAAAGCTTGAGATCTAAACTAATTCTAAGTTGATAAAGCAATAAAGTACAAATGTTTTTTAAAAATTGGGATTTTTGCTGCCCACAAATCCCACTTTTTGTGTTAAAATACTTTACATAATTGCACCACTTCCTGCAAAAAACTGTTGTCACATAACTTTCGGGTTTGTCAATAAAAAGGTGATATTTGTCATCCATCTTTCATTTCATATATGCTGCATATTGCTGTTGTCGGAAGAAAACCTTGTATGTCCAAAATGGTAACTTTACAGGAAAAAGAAAACCTTTACTTTTAATGCAAGTCGAAAAAAATGGAGATACAAGGTTTTCTTACGACAGCAACGATATGTACTTGTACCTTTGGCCTCCCTGACTTCCCTATAACCTACTGATGACATTTTTTCCTCATTGGAACCATTACGAGAGAGATCACGTTTCTCTGCCATATAGAGCTGTTTGAGCACTTTCCATTTAGAATAGCTGCCACCTTTTCTAGACATCTCTTTCTGTAAGAGCTGAAAATGGCATTATTCCTTTTAAAAATGCTCTGCTACTCAGTCCAGCCACACCTCTCTGCTGTGCTGTTTCTGTCACATGAGGGAAATCTGTCACATGATGCTAAATTTATGAACAAATGTGTTCTTTTTCTCTAAAAATTGTAGGTTTTCCTTGTGCTTGCTTAACTATATGGTGTGCTTAAGTTGTGAATGATGTAACTCTCATGTGTCCTATGTTGTAGCAATGTTTTTTTTTTTTCTCTTGTAAGTCCCATGTGTGTGGGTCAGAGTGGTGCAAACCCTTTAACACTATAATTCCAGTTCCCTTAGCTGGATCTATATCTTGGAAAACTACCTCTAGTTTCACACTTTATTTTTCCTTCATAAGTAGTTTCTTTATCATTGTCTAAAATAAACTCACAGGTTTCCTGAAGATCCTGGAAATTCCCAGAGGAGCGAGGCATGTTTTTATTCGAGAGTTTAAAGGAACCCCACACATTCTGGGTAAGGACCTTTATCTGAATGAGTACCTGTATAAATGGTTACAAAAAATATCTACTGCTCATAACTCAAGCGCCTGAGTGTTTGGCCTCTAAATGCTTGTTATTGATGGAGCAATCTGGGCTCTTCTTGGCACTGAGAACTTTAGAGGTTTCAGCTCACCGCCTCAGTGCCCATGAAACATTTGAACCTCCGGGAAGTAACGCTTCCCAGCACGTTGATTTATCTCCTTTACTCCAGCCTCTCCAGTAACAGCTTATCCAGGATTGAACTCTGCTTCTCCTTGTTTGATTTCTTGTAGGCATGAGTTATATGTTGTGAGAGTTGTGGTCATCCTAAAGTTGACACTTTTCCCATTAGCGGTGAAGAACCAGGCCACAGACCACCTGTTCCTGAACGACGAGGGTGAGTTTCCTGAGTCAAGAGCAGTCATCGAGAAAGGCGTACTGTGGGAGTATAGCAACGATGATGATATGGAGACGGTCCAGACCACAGGGCCGCTGGGATACGGAGTCCTCATCATGGTAATGAGAATGCCACAGTCCAGATGGAAGGATTTTCATTTTCTTACCTTGACTTCATTAGCGATGGAAAATCAGAACAGTTTGACTGTGGGTGGTACTTGTGCTCTGTATCAATAACAGGACAGAATAGCAGGATGGGGACTGAGAGCTGGAAAAAGCATTCAGGAGTCATAACTTGTGTTGATGAACGATGAATAATCTGATCCTTGATCTCACAAATCATCAAAGGTTGAGCTGTGGAACAGATATGATTTTCCAGTGCTTGTCCCATGAAAATATCTTTCCAGGTTTTATTATTATCAGTATCACATCCTCAGATTGCAAACGTGCATTTTTTTAGAGTCAGAAACTACGACAAGGAGCATTTATAGCTAGCGCTGAGTCATTTAGTAAGCAGGTTTATTTGAGGTTAGCAGGTCTGTTTGAGCTTGAAGTGGTTTAAGGAAAATTTTGGAATATAATACATGGTGTTTGTAACTTGGTAGCTAGAAGCTTCTATTACTTTTTGGCTACATTAAGCATGTAGCTCTAGTGAAAAACATGTTTGGGCTGATCGACTACTTTTGGGTTAAGAGTTAAAACTGTGTAAATTTGATTTTTGACAATTGCTTTAAATTGTTCTTAAATTAGAGTTTTAAACTCTATGTTTTCTTAAGTGTTTAAGAAATATGCTTGTGTCCAATGTTCATTTCAATTCTGGACCAATATATTAATTCATGAAATGTTATTTGCTGCTGTCTTTTCATCTCCAGGTTCAATCTCACAGCACATCCAAAGTCACGCTGTCCTACAAGTATATCCTGCCAGAAGACCCTGCATCGTCTATGGAGAACAGCTTACCACAAGACGACACAGTCTACTTTGAGTGGGCTCTGAAGAAATGGTCCCACTGCTCCAAGCCGTGTGGTGGAGGTACGCTTATGCTCAAATCATGGCCATGTGCTGTAAGTGATTCTGACCAGTGGTGGTTGACCATAGCTTGCGTGGTGGTATATTTTCCTGTGTTGCAGGGAAGCAGTACACGCGCTTTGGCTGCCGCAGGAAGTCAGATGGTAAGATGGTGCACCGCACACTCTGCGCCAACATCGCCAAACCCCGCGCCATCAGCCGAGCCTGCAACCAGAAGCAGTGCTCTGAGCCAATGTAAGCAGTGCAGTGGTAGTTTGGAAACCTAGAGTTTACTAAAAAAGCAAGCCATTGCTTAAACCAAAGGGTGTCATCACATATGTCGTGGTAAAGATTGTGTGTGTGTGTGTGTTTGCAGTTGGGTGACAGGAGAATGGGAGGAGTGCAGTAAGTCATGCGGTAAAACGGGCACTCAAACTCGGCCCGTGCGCTGTGTGAGGCCTCAGCCGGACGGCACGCAGAAAACCATCAACTCCAAATACTGCAACGATGACCGACCTGAGGGTCGCCGCAGTTGCAATCGGCACCTCTGTCCTGCCCAGTGGAGAACTGGACCCTGGTCCCAGGTGAGCTCCACCTATAGCATATTGTCCAGCCGCATATCTTGAACATAGCTTTACAATTTACTGTGCAAATTGCTCACACAACCTGTGTAACCAGTGAGCAGTGTTATGGTGCAATTAGGCCAAAAAGGTGTAAATAGAACTGTTTTATATGCTGTAACACTAACATATTGACATACTTAGAAAGTGTATAACAGATATTTGCCAGTGAGTTGCCATGAAAAGTGCTAATTCAGTGCTAATTTCATGGTAGCTAGCTTACTGGTTAGCTAACCTAGCAAATGTTAGGTTTCCTGTGTCATTTCTTAGGGTGAGCCAGCTTGCAGTTCAGATTTTTGCCCAATAACGTAGCACTAGACCTTAAGAGGGGTAGTGAACCCCCATAATTCACATATAAATGCAATGTATATCAGTGTAACTTAGGTAGCTTGTCACTTAATGACCTACAAAGAAACTCATGCTATTGCTAACTTTAATTGATGTGTGTGGATGCAGTGCTCCGTCACCTGTGGAAATGGAACTCAGGAGCGGCAAGTTATGTGCAGCACTCCCGATAACGCTATTGGTGTCTGTCTGGACACTAAACCAGAGAACATCAGGAAATGTCCGCTAATGCCATGTTCTGGTGAGTACCACTGAACAACTCTCTCCTGCTCACCACCTTATAACTCATTTATTGTAATAATCTTATCACAATTGTTTCAGCATATGCTATCACCATGGCAAAATTTTCATGGTTGCATGCTGCCCACATGCAAAAAGGCATAGAAAGACAGATTTTTCCATGTAAAGATGCAATTTTTTAATGTATTAACGTCATTTTACATCTTCAACCATTCACTCTTGACATTTAGCTACAGTGCAGGAGGTTAGTTGATGGTTGTCAGCCTCACTATAGTGATGTCTCTGTGCATATTCTGAACTTTTAACCAGCACCACATTTCAGTTTGTGAATATAAGATGTGTTTATGATTTGAATGCTGAAAAGTCATTGTGTATGCAGTTTATGGAATGTAAATCAAATGCAAATGTAATTCTTCACAGAACTATATAATTAACCTTCAAGATCAACGCAAAATCACACTATTTCCAAATATGTGCATGCACTGAATATGTTCATTCAACAAGAAGTGCAGCCTCATGTTATTCATGCTAGAATGTTACACTATTTTTGCTGGAACCACATGTTTCCACTTTTTTTGGTCACGCATGTTTTTGGTCATTACTTCGCCTGAAGTCTCTGTGAGAGTAAGTAATTATGCAGTTAGGTAAGCAATACAGCAAAATAGCACAGCAATGCAATTATAACTCCAGACTTTTAAGGCTTAACCTCCCTTTAAGATCTCCCATCTCACAATCCTCATTGTCTCCTGCATATGATAATCCTTCATTCTGATTTATCTAATCCTTCTTCCTCCAGGTGATAAGGGGAACTTCCTGATCCAGTGGCTGTCCAGGGCGGACCCCGAGTTCCCGGCCCCCAAGATATCCTCAAGTACTCGCCCTCTGTCCAGCTGCCAGCCAGCCATGTTCTGCTTTCCCACTCAGGCTGCTCTGGCCTGGCTGCTGGCTCTTTCTCTAGCTCTGTGGCTGTGCTACACTCTGCCCTGACTGCTGCCCTCTCTTGCTCTCTGGAGCCCAGCTGCTTCTCTCTCTCCCCTCTCTCGCTTCTCCTGAGGGGGGTCTAGGGGGCTGTTTTTATCTGCCTCTCCTTCTATTGCAGCCTGTGCTGGCTCAGTATCAGGGCAATGGGGTGGTAGAGCTCCTTGTTAAGGGTCAGGACGAAAAGGGTAATGGGCAGTGATGAAGGTAGGGGCGCGGTTTAAAAGAGCTGCGTTGTGGGTTGGTCACTGTAGTGTGATGTACAGGGAAGGCTTACACTAGAGGTACAGGACGAAATAACAGTCATTTTTTTGAAGGTGTTGGTCTTCTATGATCAAGAGGAAGGGGACATGTGTATTGATTATTTGTATTGTAAAATAAGCATAAAGTATATGAGTATAAACACTATATTACACAAAAAATAAGGGAGGCCTGGCCGTTGTTGACTGTTATATTATGTATTTTTTGTACATATTTCCTTGAATAATGGTGAAACCCTTTTGGGCAACATATATATGAGTGGAACTGAGGCAGTCCTTTGAGAAGTCCATTTTACACACCATCCAAGAAAACTACTGCGTTTCTTCATACTCTCTGGTCTCCATGTTGGACGTTTGTCTACAAGATGATCAAATACCTCATGCTTCTACATGGTTACTTTAACGAAAACTTTTTTTCATTAATATCAAGAAACTTTGCCTTATCCTGGATTTCTGAGACACGGGAATGACACTGTTTCTTCGGGGTGTGTCCATGGATGCTAGAAAAGAGGCAGCTAGAAGAAAAGGATTTTAACCAAGACCACAACGGATGTTTACAGCTAAAGGAATCACTGGCTGCATGTCATCTGCTCTTTAAGTTTTATCACGCCCTCTTTTATCGTCTTGATAGTTGCCCTGTAATACATGCAACGTTCTTTAACTTATGGATGGCACATTTATCTTTTATATACTACACAGTCAGAGTTTATATATGTATATGTATATATCAGATGTTAAATATATTCAATAATGTTATAATGACTGTTATCACTTTAGTCTTACGCCATTAACAACAAGATTATATTGTACTTAATGTCTATATATTTTGTGACATAACTTCAAGAAGATACTATAGATTGAAATGAGGCTTATTCAGGGTAATAGAGTTGATGGTGTTTAAAAAAAAAAGCTTTAATTTGGTAACGTCTGGAAGTGATAATTCTTTTTTCTTATTTTGACGGCTGCTATTCAGTATCCCAGGGCAAGAAAGGTCAAGAATGTCAAGAGGCTCAGGCCGTGGAGGCCTCGTCACACAGCTTAGAAACACACCTGGCAATACAAGAGCATCACCTATGTAGCTTTACGACTGTTTTACTACACGCTATCAGTATGTCAGTAGCACCTCGCAGCTAGCGCGGTGTTAGCCACATGGCTAACGGCAGTGCTTTATAGGCCTCCTGTGACTGTTGTGGTCCAACTTGGTCAATTCAGGGTTAAACGTTTTTCAATGGTCTTTAACCCCATCTACGTTTTCTCCTTTCTAAAGTCTGCATTGCTGACTGTAGTCTGTATAGCGTTAAATGTCGATGGCTTTACTTTCACGTATGTGTGAAACTTCTCAGACTAATAGCACTGATCTAGGATCAGCTTCTTCCCTTCACAGCCTAATGAGTGTCATTATCTGGTGGAGGTGGGTAGTAAGTAGTTACTTTTACTCCTTTCCATGATGGATTTGTACTTTTCTGACTATTTCACAAAATAATACTTCTGCTTCTACTCAAGTATGAGAAATGTAACCTCCTTTTATCATTTTATGAATTCACAATGGCCCATATTTATTAAGCATCACAGACAAAGAACACTGATCTAAGATCAGGTCTGATCAGTTTATGTACCTCTATTCAGTGTTCTGTAAAAAAATCTGACCCTAGATCAACATTCATATTCTGAGAAGTTTGACAAATATGGGTCATTGTGTTTCCTTTCATTCTGTTCTGTTGGTTCAGCTTCTTGACTGCTTTGCTGTTGGTCTCACCTCTTGTTTTTGAGCTTTAGCATTCTATTTTAGACCAGACAAAGAGAAATAGCACCTAACAAACTTCAGTTCCTTTGCTGATAGATGCTGGAGATACTAAGATGCTCCCCTGCAGTTCTACAGAGAACCCAGAGGTCAAGTTTTTTTGACCTTATGCATTTGTATTCTGCTCTTACTCTAGTTGTATTTGCTAAGCCATCTTTACTACTTCAGTCATTATTTCACTGCAGTGACAATACCTTGTGTAGCTGTCACTACATATGATCAGAAATGGAATCATAGTTCTTCAAGGGTTCTTTAGTAAAGAAAATGGTTCTATATAAAACCATGAACACTCAAAGAACCCTTTGGATTATTAAAATGTTCTTTGCATTGTGAAAGTGTTCTTCATATTGATGGAGTATGTGCTGTAGGTGGTTCTATATAGCACCAAAAAGTGTTCTTTGATTGTGTCAAGCTTGACATTGTAACAATAGAAGAACCATAGTTGGTGCTATACGGAACCCTTTTCAAAAATGTTCTGTATAGAACCATCTACAGCACGTTCTCCATCAATTTGAAGAACGCTTTCACAATGCAGAGAACCTTTTAATCATGGAAAGGGTTCTTTGAGTGTTTATGGTTCTATGTAGAACCATTTTCTTTAATAAAGAACCCTTAAAGAACTATCTTTTTTAAAAGTGCACAAATACTACTTTTAAGAAATAAAACATGTTTTATTACCTGTGATGTCACTCAGCCCACCATCAACATTTAAATTGCATAAAAAATGGTCTCATTAATTTGTGCTGCATTTGTGCTATTAAACGAAGTGTTTATCTTAATTAACAAGTTTTAAAGTCATACTGTTTCGATCAGTGACATCACGCCCCCCGTTAACGTCCAGATCTTGCCAGAATAGTCTAATTCGTTTGTACTCCGTTTTGCTGGTTTGTGCTGTTAAAATAAATGTTTGTGCCGTTTTAATTTGGAAGTTATTAAGCAATACCATTTTACTGAGTGATGTCACTCAGCAGCCAAATCACAACAAAACAGTCTTGTTTTTTGTGATTTCGACATTGACTGGGGGCTGAGCAACATTACAGGTAATAAAATGTAATGTTTAATTTCTCAAAAATAGTGCTAGCATAAACAATGATTTCTATGGCACAAACCAGCACAAATGAATAGTAGTAGTTTTATTACATTTCTGATCACATGGGATCCCAGCTTCATGGAAGTCAACACTTCTACTGCAGTATGGGCTTTGACTCCTGTACCCACCTCTGTTATCTGGTCAGGGGGGGCTGATGCTAAATCAGTTCTATTTGCCTGAGAACCTTGAAACATACTGGCCCAGTTCTGTAGCACCTCTCATTTCAGTAGCTCCGACTACATGGTACGATTGTTCAGATGTAGCTTAGGATGTGCCATTGTTTTTGTTTTTGTTGTTGTTTTTTTTTGCAATGGTGTTTTCTTGTTTACATTCATCAGAATTGCTCGTTTTGTTGTGCTTACGATGGACAGGATGGTCTCAAGAAGAAAGATGTGTTCAACCAAAGTGTTTACCAAACTGTGAATGACATAACATTTAAAACAGTTTATATTGTACTATGAAGAAAAAACAGTCAACGTGTCGTGTAGTACATGGTGTATATCTGACGAGAAGTGAGTGTTATTTATATGGCTTCTTGTCAGCTGTGTCTACGAGGATTAAGGAATAAAAGGTTGAGTAAAGTTGAATGATTGGACTCTGATACTGATTTAAATGCTCCTGGGCAGTGGACAGTGAGTGATGGAAAAACGATCATGAGAAGATGCTGTGGTATTTCTTCTGCCAGGTCATTTTTCCTTTCTTTTTTTACCTTTCAGCTTTTTATATTTCTTGTTCTTCTTGCTTTTTTCCTGATAAAACTCAATTCTTTGTCTCTTTTTTCACATATTAAGGTTGTTTTGATGCTGTTATGTAATAGCAGAGCTTCATTCTATAGACCAGTTTCGTGGACACATATTAAGCCTAGACTGAACTGTAGGGGATGCATGATGAAATTGGAATTATATCAGTGATTGCCAGATATTTGCTTAAAAAAATGGTCGGCGTTGGACAGATATTTTAGTTTAGAATTGACTGATATCTCAAACTGATGCTTGATGCTGTGGAAAAGCAGAATGTTTAGGCAACACTGAGCTACAGTGAATGTATATACCCATGGAAAATATCTGCATTTTATTCATTATATTACAACCCATTATATTGCAACCCTGCAGAAATAAGTGTTACGTATCTTCATAATGCTAATCCAGGTAGATGTAATCCCAGTTTCTATATTTTAGAAATGTTTACAGGGTTTTAACTTTTTCCCAGCTTGCCCAGCCTGTAGTGTTGTAGAGCTTGAATCCCACCTGGGTCTCTTTTCCTATAATTTTTTTTCTATCATTATTGAATATCAGTACCTTTAAACATAATGAAACAGTCATTTGTCTACACGTTTAAATAAAATCTGTTTGCTGCCAGTTGAGGATCTAATTGATCGTTTCTATGGCGGCTCAACTCAGTACTATTTTTTTGTTATTGTTCATTGGTTCCAAAATTCTCTGAGTACAGATCAGGATGTTATTATCACTATGTTTTCCTGTAATAATAAAAATGGATGTATGTTGTTTGGTTTATAATTAAGTTGACATTAGGTGGTGATTCTGAATACATTCTAGAGAAGAAGGGACAAAGAATCATCAAAGTTGGACTAAGACTATAGTAATAATGAATAATATAGGCTATATAGTATTTAATGTTAACAAATTTCAGTTTTCCTCCTTTATTCTTATTATTTTTATATTCTAAAAAAAAATCATAATCTGGTCTTGGTCCTGTCTCAGCCTCGGCCACTCCCGGTCTTGGTCTCGGACTTACCTCTAGTGGTCTTGACTATGACGCTAATGATTGGGCAAGTAATGTTAGAATAAGATCGCTCAAGTGATTTGCTGTTATCGATGTTGAACCCTTTGTACCTGCATCAGTATTTTGGATATAAAAAATGTCCATACATTGGTCCATGAGTCCTATATTGGTCCATTCCCACGTAATTGCAGTGCCCAATGATGATTCATCATTGAAAGCGCTATTTTTCAATGATTCACCACTGAATAGGCCTTATAGTGTAGGATTAGTCTTAATCTGGATGTGGGAAACTGGCTCTCAGTGTATTTCTTTATGTGTTCTAGGGACACGCTGTAAAGGAGATAAGTCAGTCTTCTGTCGAATGGAGGTGCTGAGAAAGTACTGCTCCAACTCTGGCTATAGGCAGATGTGCTGCAAGTCCTGCAGCAAGGGCAACTACACCTCAAGCCTCAACCTGACCTCAAAGCCCTGGACCTACACTTCAGTGGCTCCAGGCACCATCATTCCTACAGTTAGGAATGTCACACAGCCCTACACCCTCCCCCAGGTGCCCATCACCCACAGCTACTACACCACCATCAAATCTTCACTCAGCAAGCAAGGAACACCTACAAGCACCCCCACACGTTGGAGATACACCACCACTCTGAACCCCCTCACTCTGAAGACTACATTTCCTATTACCACCAGCGCCATCCTGGAGGAAACGGATGGACCGAGCACGACATTCGATGAGGAGGACAGCTCTGAGTCGTGGACAGTGATCACAAGTGACGAGGTCTCAGGGTCCATGACTTGGTTTGAGGATTTTTCGTCAACTGTTGTTCAGTTCTCTGATACACCCGAATATGTAGGTGCTGAAAAATTAGTTACAACTCAAACAGTTACAACGCCTCCAGTTACAACGCCAACTGTTACAACGGCAGTGCAATCTAGGTTTATTATAACAAGCCCACCAGCTATAGTAAGCCTTCACAGATCAGAGGACAGGAAGGAAAATAACTCCATTGATGTGTCCTACAAGGTTGTGGATGTTAATGAAGTCGCCCAGAACCACTTTATAGCCAGAAAGCTGGTGCGCTTCCAAGAGAAAACACACAATAAAAGGATTCAGGAGCTCCTTGCTGAGAAAAGGAGGCAAGACTTTCTTCTTAGAAGACTGAAAAGAAAACCTGGAGACTGATCAATTTTCGCTTTTCTTCTTGTCTCATGGAAAACACTTCAATCTCTCAGATGTATTCTAACATCTTTGGTAAAATCCACCTCCACAATGCTGAGACGTGCCCGGAGGTCTTTGAACATTTATCTGCTTGTTAGCCTTTGTTTCTGTATCAAAGCTTTACGTTTCTTTTTTAGCCGTCCCAGCACTCTCCATCCTGAAATAAATGTACTCACAGAAATGCATTTACAGTGGAAAAAGGCTTTTCAGTTGATTAAGATAAGAGTATATCAGGGAACCTTATGAAATATGAATTTTACTTTCATCTCTGATGTGGCAATTTAAAGGGATCATTTTTAAAGCAGATTTATTGTTTCTCTTATATGGAAATTTTACTTGTGTATCTTTCAGTGGGTGTCCAACTGAGTGGAGCAATACATCTAGATTAAAAATATAAACATTTCTCCCTAAGGATAATTTCAAACAGCAGAATTATAAGCAAGCTGATGAATATGAACGGTCTACTTTACTTCAGCTCACGTTGTTGAATATTTTCCATTGTTGATTTACATCAGACATCTAACCTTTAGAGACATTTTGTGGTTTTGTCTGTGGCAGATTTTTCCAACCACTGATTTGAAGTGGGAGGTGTTGGCAGCCTCTCTGCTTTATAGAAGCACTCCACTATTCTAAACATCAGGCTCATACCAGCACTAATATATATGTTGACGACAGTCAGAAACGTACTGTTGGTAGTAAAACTGGAATGGCAATAATTGTCAAAAATCATTTCAAAATATACGTCTTTTTATCTTGATATGCATGTTTGTATCTATTCATTAAGAGTCTCATAAGACCATTTTTTCCATGTTATGAATCACAGACTTGTCGTCTTTTTCATATATATTAAGGTTGTTTTGATGCTGATGCTGATGCTTCATTATAAGCCACCCACTCCTTCTCCCTGTGGAACTGTTGACTAGGTCCCTGCAACTTGAGCTTGATTTGCCAAAACCCGTCTTATGTTTCAGATACAGATCTCTTTGATGAAAACTTTTTGCACCAAGTTTTTTCGAGTCTTCTTTTAACACCATATAAATCCCTCACGTTCACATTTGCATTTGTTGTATTTCATCTATTCAACGCTTGTTAGCCTTTGTCATTCAGTACCTGCACAAATAAGAACCTCTTCATCAGTGTTGTATATGTGAATCAGAATTTTATTTTTTATATTTATTGAAGTGCCTTTGGTCAAACAGCAGTGTTTTATGAGTCTGCTTCGAGCTTACGTGGAAGTCAGCGCATGAGCAGCAGTGTCCCGCCTGTAGCACCTCAACATCTGGTACTATGACATGATGTCCACACTGTCTAAAGCCATTCATTCTCTTGAAGACGAAATGAAAGAATGCTGTGGGTATATGCATTCTTTCATTTATTATTTTAATAAAATTGCAAATGAAGTCAAGCATTACTGCCTTCCAGCTATTTTTGAAGGATACTGTCAGAGCCTATCAGGCAGCGTTGCCAGATTGGGCCTTTTTCAACCACATTGGGCTGCTTCTGGTTAAACTGTATGGGAAAAATGTGCTCTGGTAGGGGGACAAAATCTGAGGTTGTTGGCATGACTTTGTATTTTTAAAATATGTGTGTGTGTGTGTCTATATATATATATATATATATATATATATATAAACCAATCAGGCATAACATTATGACCACCTCCTTGTTTCTACGCTCATTGTCCATTTTATCAGCTCCACTTACTATATAGATGCACTTTGTAGTTCTACAATTACAGACTGTAGTCCATCTGTTTCTCTGCATACTTTGTTAGCCCCCTTTTACCCTGTTCTTCAGTGGTCAGGACCCTCACAGGACCACCACAGAGCAGGTAATATTTGGGTGGTGGATCATTCTCAGCACTGCAGTAACACGAATGTGGTGGTGGTGTGTTAGTGTGTGTTGCGCTGGTATGAGTGGATCAGACGCAGCAGTGCTGCTGGAGTTTTTAAACACCTCAGTGTCACTGCTGGACTAAGAATAGTCCACCAACCAAAAATATCCAGCCAACAGTGTCCTGTGGGCAGCGTCCTGTGACCACTGATGAAGGACTAGAGGATGACCAACACAAACTGCGCAGCAGCAGATGAGCTATCGTCTCTGACTTTACATCTACAAGGTGGACTGACAAGGTAGGAGTGTCTAATAGAGTGGACAGTGAGTGGACATAGTGTTTAAAAACTCCAGCAGCACTGCTGTGTCCGATCCACTCAGACCAGCCCAACACATACTAACGCACCACCACCACGTCAGTGTTACTGCAGTGCTGAGAATATATACATAAATATATATATATATATTATAATATATATATATATATATGTATATCAAACTATGAGCAGTGACCATAAAAATAATCTTATATTTAGATTCTTAAACGCTGGCTGGTTTTTCCTTGATGTTAGCTTTATGCACTCTTGGCGTTCTCTCAAGCAGCTTCACGAGGAGCAATTTGGAACGATTTTCCAACAGGACTAAAGTAGATACACTGCCTAGACCTTGTTGGCTGCTGAAAACTGCTTATAAATTATATTTTGGAAATAAATTCAAGCCCATGCATGACCTGCACTATTTATATTTGTTTAGGTAACAATATTTCAAGCATTAGAGATTGAATAGATCACAATTTCTTTAAGATTATGAAAAACACTTCCAATCAGATGTGGCACTTTTGACTGGGGTATCAATAATGCATAAGATACACTGCTTAATCTTGCAGCTGAAATTGGAACAGGGCCCACTTCTCCTCAGAACCCATCATTCATCACAGCTCCTGTTGAGAAGCGGGCGTTGCCACATTCACCTGCAGGGTGGATGTGCATTCAGAGTCTCATTTTGTTTGTGACACAATGAATGATAGATGAAAATGAACCCCAATAGGGTGATCGGGATTATAACTGTAGCTTAACTATAGAACAGTTAATTACTGAGGCTATGTTTGTAAATGCTCTGCTTTAGTATTAGGGTTAATATATTTTGGGGTTTTTTTCATGGTTTCAAATTTAGGCTGGAAACTGTTCAACCAGTCTGGCTAGCTTGGATGTGACTGGAATATTAAGTGATTGTCAACAGTCCAAAAATGATTGAGTACATTTGAAAACACTAAGAATTATGAAGGTTTGATTGCCTTGGTCCCTGAACATAGGCACAATTCTACAGCTTGTTCCACCATCTCGCCATAAGATGGCAGTGTTGTCTAAGCTGCTGCAGCAAATACGAGCAGGGACGTGTTTTCAGACTTTTTTCCTCAATGCTGTTACCCAACACTATATTTTCAGTCTTTTTCAGTTTCCCTCTTATTATTCTTAAAAACATCTTTTTTCTAACTGCTTCACTATGATCCAAGCTACTTGTTAACATTTAATGAAAAGGAAAACACATCATACTCAGGCGCTACATGTTATAAACAACAGATGGCAGTCTTCTATCAGTGTGGCAGTGTGAGCTCTATTTCTGTTGCCAATAGCTGCTCAAGGTCTCCAATCTGCAGCTCTCACAGTTCCAGTGCCCTTCACCACCATCTGACTGAAGCCTAGCAGATGTGGGCCTCACAGCAATAACACTGTGGCCTAGTTCTTTATCATGCGGTACTGTGGGCTCTGCACATTGGACCTTACTGATCTTCATCAATGTTGAAGGAGAAGAATTGACAAATGTGAATCATCTATACTCTGTCCATCCTGATCATTTACTTTACTGTATTGCACAGCCTACATCTGTGTTTCTGTCGTAACAAATGGCACAATATTTATGGGCCGTGGCTACAACCACTACTGACTCAAAGATTTGTTTACCTGTCAGCGTCCTAATGACCTACACATATTAGATTTCTTATCTGCTTGGACAGACCAGATCATTTGGTCAGAATGAATAAGGCTGTATCAACTGCATCTGGCTACAGACTTTAGTTTCATAGCAACTGCTAAATTAGAAAAACAATTACCAGCTTCTAAATTAAGAGCTCTGCCTGGCTTTTATAGTGCTTAATATGTAAATGTCAAGGTAATTCGTTCTAGCAATGATCGAAATATATTTTATAAGTTCATAACTGTCACAAGGATGTGGCTAAAATGAGATTATGTAAGTTTCTCATCAGCTTACATCATCTCAAGTACAACCTCATGTTCTTGGGTAACAGTAAATCCACATAATTAGATGGGCAGGTCCTCTCCTAAACCGTTCAGAGTTTTCAGTTCTCGAGGTCTTGACGATCAGCTGATGAATCAGACGGGCTAGCATAGAAAATGCTAACTCAACACAGGGCTAAGTTGCTACACAATGAATAAGATAAATCCACCTGATCTCGGTATAATGGATATGGAATGCACAAGAGCCTGTTCTGCAGAAACTACAGTAGTTCTTCTGCAATCATAGCCACGTGACAATTCATACAATTTGCAGAAATCTGTAGACGGTTGTGGTTGTCTAAAGGTTTTGAACTAGCTAGGGATCTCTGTCGACAGGTTTTGAGATTTTTTCCCTTTAAAATCTTTGGAAAACTTCTCAATGACTTGACTGCTTTCTTTGGAGAAGGTATTCTGTGTGAGGAATATTCTTTTTTTCTGGTAAAAGGGCTTTTCACTTTGCTAAATCAATGTTTTAGCTTGCTAGCTGACTAGCCTACTGATGTCGCATTGAGTTCACTGTGTTACACAATTGAATGCAAAATCATGATTGACACACCTCTCAGCCAATCACGATCATCTTTAAACATATCTTCCTCTGTCAAGTGAGGGAAAAACTCCACAGAACTCATTGAAACAAACCTGCAGTGAGAACGGCACTATAGTATAATTATTAGACTAACAAATGGTGGGAAGTTGTTACTGAGGAACATGTTGTGGCCACGCTGCAGTGGGGATAGGGTATAGCCATGCAAAATGGCTCTCAGGATGCGCCACACCCTCGGTGTAAGAACAACCTGTTGTTGTTGTGTGGTACAGTGGTAGTTGTGTTTTTTAGAGTAATTATATCCGAGGAGGGTGGGCTTTGCAATTAACTAGCGGTTAGAAGTGCCTACCCTCCTTATATATTATGTTGTCCCATGTTTCTGCTTCAATAGGAGATATTCACACAGTTCAACTGCTGGCAGCTATGCTAAGCTACATAGCTGTGACAAGGGGAAGAAGCACTCTTTATGTAAACATAGAGGAGGACAATTGCAATTATGCATCTTCAAGAGCATTGCAACCGCCGGAGGTGAGTCATTCTGCCCTGAGTGCGCATGAGGAGACGTGAGCTGAGAAGCATACAAGCTATTAGAGGAAGAAAAGTCAACTTATGTAGGCCATAGCCATGTCCAACACCAGCTGGAAAATAAAGCACCACAACTTGTGCCAAAGCTGTGTCTCTTTTAATAGCAGTGACCACTACAAAAATGCTTGACACACTGATCATCTGGAGGGTGGTGTTGTTTTTATTCTATTCCTGAAGCTGAAATAATCTGTGGAAGACCTAAAGTCTAAATTATTACCTATTAGCTCTGAGGTAAGCTAAACTTACTGTGGGTTTCTGTATTTGCTAAAAAACATTTTAACATGATGTCTAATGATAAATAACAGAAATTGTAAAAGTCAGTAAGTCAGTAAGTCCTCTTCAGCTTCTAACATTGCTCTGTCTAGCTCCAGAGTTAGCTTTAGCATTAGCTCGTCTCAAACAGTAGCACCCATTGCTAAAACCACTACCATGACATGAAAACCTGCTGCTATAGTGTCACGTGATGAAATGATTTCCTTGGTTTGATTAGTGTAAAATGATTCTTTTTGTTGTTCACTTTAAATTGGCCAACAGTCATATTTAGTTAGTTCTCAAACATGTACAACTGCTCTTCAGTATAATATTAACTTTTTAAACACTTCACTTAAAGGTACATGATGTAAGATTTTAGGATTTGGACATCTCTCTGGTGGAAATGTGTACATGGACACAAAATACAGCGCTGCTAGAAAAACCAGCACAAACTAGCACATGGCTGGTCACCAGCAAAATCAGCATTTGTTGTGTTTAAGATGTTGGTATGCTGGGTAGACACGGTGGGAGTTAATATGCTGGTCAGCAAAACCATTATACAGTGTTTTAGATGTTGGTATGCTGGTCAAACACAATGGGTGTTAATATGCTGGTCACCAGCAAAACCAGTATATGTTGTGTTTTGCGTGCTGGTAAGCTAGTCAACCAGCATGACCAACCTGTGTGACCAGCTAAACCAACACTAGACCAGAACTAGACCAGCATAAACCAGCATATACTGTAATGCATGCTGATCTGTGCTGTTTTCTTGGCAGGGAGAACATTTTACATCATCAGATACATTTCTGACCTCTTTTCAAGTGGGTGAATCTGATGATTGTGAACATGTTGAAAGAATATTCAAAGAGAACTCAGTGAAAACTTGGTGATCAACAT